CCAGGGAAAGAGACAGAGAAAAGCCCACGAGGAGAGAAATTGAGACCACCCTCCAGAGAGTCAAAAGAAAACGTGCCTGCTGAAGAACAAACTCTGCTGCACTCAGCAAAATCTTTTGTCTGTTCATCAGTTGCACAAAACAAAATTATCTTTACGATGCTTTGCTCATGATGGCTGGGGGATAAATTCCATTTCTAGGATGACTATGGAAAACTAATGGTTTTGTGGGGAGGGTATAGATCAGAGCGCTGGTAGGATGCAAAGTGGTGGATCTAATGATGAAGGATAGGGTCTGGATTTGAGTGAAGCAAAGGGTGAGTTTAAGAGGAGAAGGAAGAAATTAAGGGTGAAACACATCCATGGTATGGAACGCATCCAATGGTCAAGGGAAAGAAAGAACAGAGTGAAACAGCATCTCTCAACCTTGGAAAATTAGTATATAATCTGCAATTTAACCAAAAAAAAGTCCACATTCAGACCAAAGCTGAATGCTAACTTCACCACTCCTTTCAAAATCCAGCTTTTAAGTCTGTTAAAAAGTGTGGAATGGTTTTTGGCAAGGAAAGCACTGCTACAGAACGTAGCAATTTGCTGGGATCACAATCACACTTGCTGAATTTTAGCACCACACAGTTCCATACCTGCCTCTTTGATCTAGTTAAGGTGATGCAAATAGAAGCATTTCTTTCAAATAGTGATCCAGCCCAATTTTCAGATAATGATGCAGCCCATACTCAAATAATGATCCATCCTAATACGAGAAAAAGGGAGTTTTGTAGCAGAAAAAAAATGTGGTTTTAATACTTAATGAATACCACTAAAAATTGTGACATGTTTCAGAGAGTGGCATTAACCATACATCTAGAATCAGATAATTTAAACAGAAATTCACCATGAACAGAGTATCAAAGGTATTCACATCTTGTCTGCTATCTAGAAAATATTTAAAGGAAGATCCTGGAGTTAAATTAGTCATTTTTAATCACTGCATTGCTCACTTCAGCACCATCTCTCTCTTGGCTACAGTTTTCACACTGTGTATTTGCAAAAGTGCTTTATGGCAGTGAAGTTGCACTAATCTTACCCTGCCTCCCAAAATTAAACGTGATGAACTGAGATGCTTAAAAGAGATATTGACACCTGCTGCTGGTGATTACTTTCCCTTTTCTGATTAAATGCTTGACTTGTCCAGAGTCCTGAACTAATTAAACCAGATGCAAGGGTGCTCATTTCAAGCCACAAGATAGCAGCTTTTATCAGACCCTTGTCTTATCTTCACTATGAATTTGTGGAGGAAGGATCCACGAGTGTGTTACATATTCAAGACCATAGAGAACATTATCATGCTCTTTCATAATTCTGTTACAGAAAAAAAAATAATAAAAAGTAAAAAACCATAGCCCCAAAGCCATAAAACTTGTTATATGATGTAGCATAGCTATAGTAAGTGATATAATGGACTATCACTATGATTTCTGACTTTTCCTTTGGTAGCAATTCACTAATAATTAGCAATTTCACTAATAAATAATTTAATCAGCAGCTAATCAGTCGTTTAAAGCTAGCTTGCAGATGCTTCTTTATCCACTTATTACCTGAAAACATTGCTGAGCTACAGCACATCTTCCACCGCTACAACACTGATACAACATTTCTTCCAAGTTTAAGACAAAAATGAAGACCTTTACACTCTTTTAACGGGCTGTTAAGACCCTTGGGTACACAGCAAAGTCTCCACTTATCCTTTCCAACGCCGCACAGAGTAGTTCCTAGCAGTAAGTTCCTTTTTTTTCTCGGCTGTAACGAATTTCACCGGAATAATGAAATATCTGTCCGTGTTTTCTCACACGCTCTTCTTTATCGGGACGCAGGGAGCACCCGAGCAGCAGAACAGGAGGAAGGGGACGCG